GAGCGTAGCATGTTTTCACAGGAATCGAAGGAGATTACCTCGGAAATTGCATCAGCATGAGTGTTCTATTATGGCCAATCGGCAGCTGGTCAAGAGGAATCCGCAGTCGTCTTGTGGTGAAATTAAAATTTGAATCTCTTCACCAAAAACCTTAACTCTAAATGGAAGTACGCACAACATACAAACGCCCTCAGCGGGACTCAACCCATGATACTGAAGTGTATAATTTCGCCAGTTTTACCGCCACGCCAGATAGTCACGAGTGCGAATTTCAAGGCAAGCCAGACATTCTCCATATCGTATTTTGTGGTAGGATTGCCGAAGAAGCTAATTTATAGTTACTAAATCATTCGACGTCATTGATTTGTTTTCCATTTTTAAGTAGGTTTTCGAAACTACCACCATCGAAAATAACTAATTTACGAGTAGTCTAAACAGCCTACTTATAAACGAAAAATAAGTAATATAGTTGGTTCACTATAGCAAATATAACTTTACATTCATCGATATAATATGGGAAAGCCCCTGGCCTTCTTTGAAATGCACATCTTCATTGCTATTTAATGGCAATCGATGCAATGTGGCGTAGTTTTTAACCTATCGAGATTATAAACTGCACTACCACAAACTGAGATAGAGTTCCACTGAGTTGGGGTGAGGTCGAATCTGCAGTCCCCTCTTGCTGGCATAAGAATACCTTTTGATGAACAGGGCTACATGGAATTCCACGGGAACATGTGGTCTACTTAACTGATTGTGAGAAAGTTCAACTAAACGAAATGAAATAAGTAGGTAACATCGTTTTTTTGTCTGATTAGTTGGTCTGTTCTGCAGTAATTCACTTAATTTGACTTTATTTATCTGTTTTCACCTTTTTTCTGATCGTGTGAAAATCCCCAATTATGGCTGTATAATAAATCTTTCTAAGCCCATTTTGTTTGAACGCAACTGAATCAGCATCTTCATAATCTTTTATTTGAACTCTGAAGTATGATAATTTTGTACCTCATTTCAGGGGAATAATGTTATTCTTTCTGGCCTTCTGGTTAGCTAGCATGTGCGAAGAAAAGTTGGGTTTCAAGGATTCTCTTTTTTCATAATTGTTGAGCTTACTTCCATTTCGAGTGAAAGTGTTGGGTAAAGAGATTCGAAGGCCGAATCCAACGGCGAATTCCTCTTGACCAGCTGTCGATTGGTTTTACTGAAAGATTCATACTGACGCTGTTTCCGAGGCAATTTCCTTCGATTCCGGTGAAGAGGTGCCAAGCTTTCGTCCGTCATATGACGAACATCATCAGAGCAAGTAATGTATCATCATCACAACCAAATTCAAGCAAAAGAGTCAAGAAAACTCACCGGCAAATCCCTAAAAAGTGGTATCTATACTCTACATCTGGCCTCTTTGATCAAAAATGATTTGGTTAGTTGAGGTCATATGTCAACTTCTATGCATGTGAGTGTGTCTGTCTCTGTATTTGTATGTCATATGTCAACTTCGATGCATGTGAGTGTGTCTGTTTCTGTATTTGTATGTGCCTGTTTGTGTTCCCTTATGCACGAAACCCAAAGTGATGGCTCACAGTAATTAGGACAGCAAAATGGAACGTCTATTTTTGGCTATTACGGTTTGATGACCCATATCTCCCTCTTTCTACATACAAGTTATTATCATCACTTCGATTGTGAAAGGTCAGACACTCGTCTGGTTTTGTTGATGAGCCTATTGTTTGTTTTTGGTATCAATGCGAGAGAGAAAGAGTGAGCTAAAAGTACTGTGAATTGACTAGCACTTCGAGTGAAATTGTTGCGTGGAGAGATTCGAAGGTCGGTTCGATCAGAAGACGACGGCGGATTCCTCCTCGATGGCTTTACTGGAACATTCATACCGACGCTGTTTCCGAGGCAATCTCCTTCGATTCCGGTGAAGAGGTGCCAAGCTTTCGTCCGTCATTTGACGAACATCATCAGAGCGAAGAGGGTATCATCGCCACAACAAAATTCAAGCTAACGAGGCAAGAAAACTCTTGACTTCATGACTCGTTAGCCTGAATTTTGTTGTGACGATGCTACCTCGCTCGGATGATGTCCGTCATATGACGGACGATAGCTTAGCACCTTTTCACCGAAATCGAAGTGGATTGCCTCGGAAACAGCGTCAGCATGAATGTTCCAGTAAAGCCAATCGACAGCTGGTCAAGAGGGATTCACTGTCGTCTTCTGGTGAAACCAATCTTCGAATCTCTTCACCTCCAACACTTTCACTCGAAATGGAAGTAAGCTCAACAATAGCTAGCATGTGTTGTGGCTTTCCTCATTTTCGAGGATGCATCAAGCGCAACACCACAGTTTTGCTGCCCAGGCAACAGGATCACTTGCCTTTGTAGTGTTGTCAAACGCGACAACGCTAAAGTCGATCAGTCCGGGACGTATTGTCTCGAGCAGATCGAAGAGGAGTAGTGAATCGGCGAGTCGAGCGTCGGTGAATGGGTTGATCAAGACGATTCCCGGCGGCAGCAAGTGCATCGTGGGGCCGGTGCCGCTCAGCGAACTCGGCGTTGCTCGACCGGACAAAGGACTCGTGGCGCGAAACGAGGCATGGCTGAAGGCCGGTGAATAGGGCCTGAGGGAGGCATACAATGGGCTGGCCGTCTGGCGGGACAGATTCGGCGAGAATGGTCGCATCTCATTGGCCGGCCAGATGGACAACAGTTCGGTCGGGGGTAGACCGTACCTCTGGTGCAGACTGTTGAGACGGGCAAAGTTGCCCTCGAGTCGCCGGTTCACCCATTTCGCGATCTCCATCTCGTCGAACGGTCTCTGACCGTCCGGAGGCGTCAGAAAGGCGGTGTCTTGACGACGAGGCCAGCAGCAGTTGCATGCGGTGGATACAGTTTCAGAGAATGCTCGTTATTCTTGATCAACAACTTTGTAAAAATGGACTCAGATTATAGTCAATTCTACGTGAAATGGCCTTTTAAAAGGCAAGACTAAGTAAACTACAATGTTAGGCCCTTTTTATTTTGGAAGAAAGCTACAAAATTCCGTCCAGGAATCAATTTAGGCGACCTAGGCTGACTAGCTTCTTATTCAAGAGACGAATTGAAACTAGGTTGCGATGGATCTCATGAAATAACATTGTTGAGAGTACTTTTATTTCATATTAAACCCGGATAGTCTTCTTGCTAGACTTTTACCGGAATGAGACCCAACTATGATGATGTCCATCGAATGATGGACAAAAGATCAGCCCGTTTTTACACGAAACGAGGGAGCAGGTCTCGTGAATAATGTCAACCTGAAAGTCGTCAATAAGGACTTAGATTAAAGTCAATCCTAAATGAAATGGCCTGTTAGGAGGCAGGACTAAGTAAACTTCAATGTCAGGTTCTTTTTAGTTTGGAAGAAATCTAAAACATTCCGTCCTGGAATCAATTTAGGCGACCTAGACTGACTAGCCTCTTATTCAAGATACGAATGGAAACTGAGTTTTGGTGAATCTCATAAGATAACATTGTTGAGGGTAATTTCATTTCATATTAAACCCGAATAATCTTCTTGCTAGACTTTTACCGGAATGAGACCCATCTTAGATGATGACCATCGAATGATGGACGTAAGATCAGCCCGTTTTCACACGAAACGAGGGAGCAGGTCTCGTGAACTGCGTAAACTTGAACGTCGTCTTCAAAGCCAAACAGCAGCAAAACGGGATTTGTCCGTCCTCTTCCGATGAGATCAACATACGAAATGAAAGTTCCCCCAATAATCTTATTCAAGAGTTACTAATAATGTCAAATACTACTCATATCGAAAGTAATTTAACGTCGTCGATTGGAATTAGCAAACACATGTTTGCTCAA